TCCGCTCCGAGGTGACACACGTGTACATTCAACTTTAAATAATACGTTTCCCGGCATATCGCAGTTAACTAAGAAAAAATTAGTGGAGTCCATAATTGAGCCAATAGTTGAAGCAATGATCGCGGTAAATTAATTGACAACTGAAATTTTCGACGGGATATTTGCTCAGTCCTTGGAGATTTCTGCTTAGAGACAGCCGAGGCTAATACAGTAAGCGAAATCGCGCTCTGCTTTAATGACCCAAGGTAGTCGTTCCAAACACGATATTCTACTTAGCACCATCAAAGCAGGAAGCCCTACCCGTAGATGAAGCTTCACTTCTGAAGAAGCATCCATAAACTATCTTCCTTGTTCCCGTGCTCTCATCCAACGGAGAGCCATCTCCCACGGGATAAGACAGGAGAAACCGGCCGTCCTCCCCTTCTTCCTAAATTCTTCCTTCCGTGGCCTCGACGGCAAATTGATAGATCGCCCTATGACCCGCCCGTGATCTCGCGCGCGGTTGCATGTGGGAGATACGTCACGTGATTTGATGGATTCGACCGCGATTTTATCATATGAAAGGACAAACTATGTAATAGAAGATAAAATAAATGATATTTACACGCGCGCTTGCATGTCTGCACGCTACATCGTTCAAGTCGGCCTCACGGTATTTCCATGCCTCGAAAGATAGGGAACTTTTATACGCGGGCACTTCTCGAAGATATGTAAAAGACTGAAGAAAGATTGCCGCGCAGGAAATGCGACACGTGACAGCTCTATGAATATATCTCCGGAATTAAGTGCGCGAAAGCAATAAGTGCCATCTTGTTGCCCAAGTAACTTTGAGCGGAATGAAAGGAATTTTTTTCGCCAAGAGCTTCACCAGCGATAGATATTTAATATCAAGAATTCGGAAAATGCGAGGAACGTTGCGCTCCACTTCTCGTTGAAAATCCAAACGAGACTGTACATATTTTGAATAACTAGACGCTTTATTTTTCACAAGAGAAAATATGCACTTAATATATTATCTCGTTCTCTCGCGGAGCGCGCACGGGGTTGGAGTTTGTCCCCCATGGATGCAACGCCAATTTAAGCCGCAGACGTTATACGACGCTGCGAAACCACGCGTAGAGCGCGGCGCAATTACACGTTCGCTCGCGTTGCTAACTTTTCGCCGCACCGAACTTTAATGTACAACGTCGAAACGAAGATGCGGGATGCCGTGAAATGAAATCTACGGCGGCGGTGTACGCGCGGGTCGCTCACGCGGTCCCCACGTAATCCTGGCGGCGTAATGCAACACGGGCTGTGCGCCGCGCGCCGCGCACAACCTGATTATGTCCATTTGTTGCCCACTCGAAACCCCCGGGCGATATCGCGGGGAACTTAATCCACCCGAGTTAGTTGCGCGTGCTCGTTCCTCGTGGGATCGTCTAAGATTTATCTTCTTGTGAAATATTTTCTCCCGGCTTTCCAACACACCGACCGAGGTCTCACAGGCTCCTCCTCGGGCGCGGGCGAAGCGCGTACGACGGCAGAGAATACACGCTCGCTTTTCTCGGCACGCTTCTCCGCCTCGCTCTCTCGCTTCCTCGGCTATATCCCGAAGCCGTTCCCGTTTTACGTGTGCGGCATTCCCGCGAGTACGCGGCCCCGGATAGCTGCGACTGATAAACCGGCGTATAAATATCCCCGACAACTTTGCATCCCCGGCTACCTACGCGTTACACGGCGAGAGGGAAAGGGGGTTGATAATGAAGATTCGCGTCCATCGGAAGTTCGCGATTTTCCGGCTGGCCGCGCGCGTCCATTTCGCGATCGAGCGATTTAATTGGCTGGAACTGAGAGCTAATCGTTCACCGGAGTTCGTAATGAAAAGGGCCTCCCCCTCCCCCCATTAGTGAAGCCGTTCGCATTATTTTTACGATGAATCAAGTGAGAATTTCGATGTCGTCGAGAGGTCAACGTCTGCACTCCGAAGCGCGATGTTTATATATGATAGAGCACATTTTCTTATCCAGAAAACTTTAATTGATTTGCGCTATTGTTATAAAAATTCGCTATAAATGCAAGTCATTTTTGCACCTTCAGCTTTTAACTCTTTAGGAGATTACAATTTACTTGATTGCGTGAGTTAGAGGCAATTTTATTATCTCGCGCTTTCCGAATACAGCCGAAGCTGTTAAACACATTTGCTCTTCAGGGAAGGAAACATACAAATGCAGGTAACACGACGGCCTTAAGTAGTGACGTTCGCGACGAATTTTCGGGGCGTCTTAAAGTGCAAGTGGTAACGCGTTTACTTAGTCAGACACGACTCTCCACTTTAGCCGGGATTAACGTCTGATAATAAAATGGAGTACAGAGGGATTAATTCGATTTCGCGGATGTTTCGCTTAATACACGGCCGACTGTCATTATCAGTTTCTCTGCCGGGTGTTAGTCTTTCCTCCGTAAGACCCGGGCACGAAGTAGAAAGTTACTTAATCTTCTTACTACGCTTACCCTCGAGCCCGCCCGACGCCGCCTTAAACTTCGACTACCAGCATTTCAATGTATACGTATATTCACGAAACGCTAAGCTATCGCTAAACCGTATCACAGGCGTTCGCGTCTTACTCGACGCCTCGCTCGCGAGAATATCGATTGTACGTTCCATTAGGATTTTTGAGATTTCAATTTCATTGACCCTTTGAAGTGTACATGTTTCCTTCCAGCCGAATTTTCTGAAACTTAATACTTCAGGGTTCTTTGGGTCGCTGATTACGATTCTGATGTCAGAATTACAAAATTCAAATACAGATTTTCAGACGTCATGTTGGATTCGCCATTACAAATTTTGTAATTCTGACGTCGTGTGCGTAATCCGCAACCCGAAAAACTTCCGAGTACCAAGTTCCAGATAAATCGATTGCACTTTTTGTAATTTCGACTTTTTATATTGCATCCGTCATGCTCAATTTTAAAATTTTCAAAATTTGACTTCAGATGAAAAATCAGTGATTTCAAAAGCTCCCAGATACCTAGTTTCGGAGTGTCGTTTATAGGAATAATTTTTTGACTACGGAACATCTTGTGTAAAACAAAATTTTTTAATTATAGCTTTAACTTTGATCCTTCCCTGAAGAGCAATATAATGAGTCAATCGTCGTTAATTTTAAAATTTCGACTTCAGATTTACTGTTAGCAAATCACAAACCTTCTAGATATGAAGTAGTCAAGACATCGGATCGAAAGGAGTGTTAATTTTTTAACTTCGGAAAGTGTAACATTTATGTTACACCGTGCTTCAAAGGGTTAAGGTCTTATTTTACAGCCTAATGTATAAATGTATACATTTACATTATAAACGTCTAGCAGTTGTAGCCGAGTAGTCTTGTCTTTGATAAATTTCGAAATTTTGTTAAATTAATAATATTACGATGTTACGAGAAATGAGACGTTTAACGTTTTTCGAAAGTAGAACTCTATTACGGGTGATCAGAAATTAAATGTTATAGACTCTTTCGACTGTCAAAGGGCCGAGAGCACAAAAGCAGTAGTAGAACTCTCTGCAGAGTCAGACCATTTAGAGTCGGAGTAGTTCTCACTTGCTATTATAGTTAGAACTGTACTTTCCCGACTCCTGGTATACAATGCGTAATGTGAGGATGTCTGAAAACAGCGGCGAATGGAAATAACAATAAAAATGTCCCTCGACAAAAGTTACTGTGTAACAATTTGAATTTAAATAGAAATAGTTGTAGAGGAGTGTTACATATTTCAACTGAAAACTAAACCGTGCTTAATAGCGATCCACGGGAGGAGGGGATGGAGCTTTTTAATTTTTAAACAATATATTAACTTACGTCAAACCGCGACAAGTATTTCCGCTCACAGCGCGCTGTCGTGCGGATTTGCAAAACATTCTATCCTCTCCACTTTTCCTCTTCGCTCCTGTTATTTTCATTTTTCTCTCTTTTACTGCATTTTATGTGCCTCTCTCCCATCGAGTGTACAGCACGCCGGATCTGAATATCTCGCTTCTTTAAAGGGGTCTTATCGCGTAGCAAACGTGACCACGGTTGCGCCGTCTCACGACGTCGAATACGACGGTACGTACGGTATATCTTTCAGAGCTTGTTCGCGAGCGTGATATCGAATTGCGTAGTCATACGTGAAGGCAGACGGATGACGCATCCGATCGCCCGAGGAAATTCAGATCCTTATGTATCTACACGAGATTTTTCGGGTCGGGGATGACAAGGGGCGTCGGGCGGGGACGGGGGTGCCGCTATACGTGCGAGTGCCTAAGAGGAATTTTCAGATCATGATCCACTGAGAAAGAGGATGTGCGCCGAGAGGCGGGGCGGGGTGGGCACCTGGCATCGACGGATTCGTATTATAAATCCGTCCGCGGAATCCCCGTGGTTATTTCGCGGTAGATATTCCCCGAGATACGATTTCGCCGTACGAGAAATATGCCGATAATAATCGTCGTATTAGATCTCAATCCTGCCACGCCGATAGCACGTCGACGTACGCGCTTGTGATAGACATTTCGCTTTGCCCCCCCCCCCCCTCTGTCTGCATTTTTAATCTCTGAATCCCCCACGAGTTACGTACAAGTGTACAGCGTGCCGCGACGATAAGAAAAAGCTTTACACGAGCGTGCAAATGTCGTAAAGAGAGAAATATTCAGAGAAGATCCCATAATACTTTATCAAAGCTCCGACAATAATACCGTACGGCGCGATTCGCGTGCTGGTGAAACGAGAAGTTCTCCACGGCGAAATTATTCTGCCTCCTGAAGTTTCCATGGAAATGAATTCCGTACAACTGCGATACTCCGTGCAAAGAAGACGCGACCGTGGTCAATGTCCCCAACTTATAACGAAGGGCTGCACGTGCCGTAGTTCGCGATCGGTCGATTCATCGGGGCAGAGCAGGCGGAGGGAAACTTCGCCGGCGGCATGGTACAGCTTTTTCATAATTGATCGTCCAATCGATACACTCCGCTATTCTGCTTTCAGGACTCGAGGCCGAGTTGTACTACGTGCGGGAGGGGGTGGTCAACACGTACGCGATGAATTTCGTCGTGCCGGTGCCGGCGAACATAGCGGACCTAGAATTTTCATGGCAGAGCCTCATAGGACACCCGGTAAGTGCAGACGCTCGTAGCATAATCGAACACCCCAAGCCTACGAGTTATAATTCCAATGCCGAGTCAACGTTTCCGTTTTGTTCCGATATCTGCTCGAAGCAAAAGACTCTGGAGCAAAAGATCTTTTAATGTACAACTTATACGTCATCCAATTGCAAACGCATACGAGAACCATCAGTTCTCCGCGACAAATTTCTTCCGTCATCCAAGCGGAATATTTCAAGATCCCTTTTACGTTCTCGGTCACGAAAGAAATCACGATTCGCATATCCGCGGCTGCCGCCGAGGGATGTTAAGCCGGGTTCTCCCGTGCGTTCGAGCAAAACGTTTCCGCCGGCGATTAACGAGACGCAACAATGCGGAACAAAGTAAACACGTGACCCGGCTGGAATGGTAACACACGGTATCCTCGTTTACGTTCCGCTGCGGGATGGTGGCCCGTCACGGTGGTTTACCGGGGGTGTTCGCCGAGGGTTAAGAGGGGCTCGGCACGGCGGCTCGTGAAGGGCGAGGCACGACAGTGCAGGGCTGTATCAATACTCTATCAATATGAAATACAAACAGATGGCCTGGGCGTGAAAGGGACGGAGCAAGCCGGTGCACGCCGTGCGGTTCGGTTTTGCGCTCCCTTCGGTCACCAAGGAAACCGAACGCGCCCTCGAGACCCCTCGTGATGCGGTAGGGCGCGGGAAAAACGTGAAAAGTCGCGATCGGATGTTAAACGACGAGGAAACCTTCGTTCTACAACTAACCGCTGTTGCGTCTGATTGATTGTGACTGCCGTATCAAATTCTGCCGATTATTAGTCTGCTGATTAGCCTCAATCTATGTACCCATTGTTACTCTTCATACTCTTTGTACAGTCGGTTATCGTTGAAGATGACGCGGAATCGTGTTATTCGATACTTGCAGTGATTTTGTCCAAGGCCTGGTTTTTCATTTTCTGGTTAATTGTCAATCAGAAGTTAGTCGATTCTCTATCTCTTCTTATGGAAAGTCGATTAACCTCTGGTTAACAGTCGAGGGGAAACCGCTGAGGGCATTGTGGTGTACAGATTCGCGGCATTACTGGGCATTACTAGGCATTTTTGGGGCATTAGGTCTTGCTGGGGCATTATAAAGATAAAATAAGATAAAACAAGATAAATAAGATAATAAGATACAGTATTATGCCCTACTGGGCATTAATGGGCATTGGTGTACAAGATTTTGGTCAGCGGTTTCCCCCTCGTTAACAGTTAACCAGAAAATGAAAATCTGAGAACATTGAAAAACCCAAAGTTACGAAGCAACGTTCCCTGCAATGATTGTTTTACAAATACAGATAATTCTTTCATCTACATTAGTATAGGATATCACTAATATAAACAGTAATTCGCAAAGCGTTTAAAAAGGTGTTTCGCATACTGGCTCGTATTCGCTTGCGCTTATTTGATCGCAAAGTCGCTTTAAATGACGACAACGAGTTCTTTCTTGTCGCCATTCGTATGTTGATGGAACTCGTGTCGCAAATTCATTGAATCCAGGGATTTTCAGAACGAGCGTCCGTAAAAGGCCGATATGTTCGCGCCACGAATCCCGGTCTGTTGTTGGACGCGTCGCGATCGTTGGAGAGACGTCCATCCACTCGCTCGTAGATGTACAACATACGTCTGGCACCATTACGGCGGACGCTTTATTGCGGGAATACCACGGCGACCCATCTTATCCCACCAGGGAGTGTTTTCCAGCCCTCCACTTTTACCCGTTATCTCGTGGACCCATCCGTAGGTTCGTTAACCGCGAAATCGCACCATTTCCGTGATCACGGTGCCGTCGTTTCGCCTTATCTCCTGCTCACTTTCGACACGACGGAAGAGTTTCGTTGCTGAAAACGGCCGGAGACGGCGTAAGAATGGAAGAACGGCGTGCGTAACGGGACGAGAACCAGCGGGAAAATTGGTCACTTAATTTCGTGCGGATAGTTCTACGATAGCCATTCGTTAAAGAGTTTGCGCGAACGCTTCATTGATTCTAAAAACTATTTGAACGGTACATAAATCTTCAATTACTGGAATGGAAACGTCAAAATGCTTAGAATTTTACATTTTCAATTTACCCTGGGAAAAATTCTTTATCACGGGCAAATATCCCTTTCTTTTCTTTAAATAAACTTTTAAAGAAATTCTTTTTTCACTTCTTCTTGAAACTTTTAAAACTTTTTAGAACTAGGTGTTCTTCGCTCACATTCTCCGTTAGATATTAAGAATTTTAATATCTTAAGCTAGATATTCTGTCAAAAGAAAGTCTATGAAGAAATTTATCAATAAATTCATAAACGGTAGACACAGGTGATGCACGTGCAAAACGTTAAAATGCTTTCGCGAGGCTCTGATATATGTTAGAAATTTCTTGCTGCCAGCTAAAAGCATGGCAAATACCGTCCAAACACATTTGTGGGCGTTGAGATATGATGCCTCGTAGCACATTCAACAGCGACTTGATTAAACGTAGTGTTATTCAGTTTTATCGGTGCATCAACGGAACAAAAACTTCTTTTCCTCTGTCAGGGGAACGCTACGTATTCGTCGCGATTCTGACTCACCAGAGTGTTGTTCGGTTTTCGGTTTATCCTACGATCAGATGAGAAGATCTCTAGTAGGATACCGCGATGTGCGTCCCAACTAATCTGGACCGACGATTCCGATCGATGAGTCACGACACTTTGTTACTTGCCTATCCGACGGTCTCATCTATCGAGTGGCTCCCTACGAACGCTCGTGCATAATTCACCTCTGCCATATTCCGGTCGCGAAACGTTGACGGAATCGCGTCGCCGGGCTTATTGTTGACAGCGCGAAGAGGAAGGCTATTTTTCACTTTTAACATGTTTCATCGTAAGATTGCCCTCGGAAGACGTCGCCGCGGCAGTGAAAAATGGAACGAGGCGAGGGACGTCGAGGAGAGCAAAAAGAGATCGCAAAGTAACGCGAAGGCGGAAGCAACCTCGAGCGATAGCACCCTCGATTAGGTCCTCGATTCGCGGATCAGAGTGTAACGCGTTTATTTCTTCCTCGCGGTCCTCTCAGCCTGTCCCTGTTCTCGATTCGTCGCCCGCAGCGAAACGGGAGTTACAGGCCGCTCCGCGCAAGGATATAGACCGAAATGAAGTTTCTCATCGGCGTGGGGTGGCGTCAGGCCGAGTCGGGGATGATTTGTGAATCATCCACTTGTTAGGCGAAAGTTCCGCGCTACTTTTTTTCCCCTCCAGTCGGGATCGGGGTATAGCGACGGGGAGGTCGTGGAAAATGTAGGGAAGGGCGTCTGGCGGTACGCGGAACTATTCTTTCCTGCTCTCTCGGCTCGTTTTCAAACACATCTCTGGACCCTTTCTTCCTCTCCTCCACCCCTCGTCCTTCTCCTGATTTTTTTTATATCTCGCGTTTCCTTCGTATTCTTACTTCGCTCATACGTTTTCCTCCCTCTATCGTGTTTTCCTACGTATCGTATTTTTCCTCTGTCCCTTTTTTTTCCGTTTTTTTCCGTCACTCATTTTTCCTTCGTCTCGCTTCCTTCCTCCCGCCATCTCGCCCCGAGATCGAGTTGGGAGCTGGGGTGGATACAGGGTCGATCTGCGATCTCCCCAGGGCGACAATTACTTGTAATACCGTTGGTCTCTCGGGGCCGATGGGAACTCGATGGGGCGTACTCTCCGTAAGAAAAAAGGATATTACTGTAACCCTCAGTCGAGTCCGGCGCCGCACCCTTACGAAGACTACGATCCGTCGCCCTTGTCTTATCATGGCTGACATGTCTGATGATCTGTCAGGGGCGTCTCTTCAATTAGACGTGTGCATCTCCTGTCTATCATGCGACCGGCGCATTTATATGATTGAAACGTAGCATTAATCCCAACCATGTAGCCCATACTTTGCACTCGACGAAAAAGTTGTACGGGCAGGTGTTCTTCATGATTTTTACCTGTAACTTTTGTGCATTAAAGTGGTATACGAAAAATAAGCGACCCCCTGTGAAGCCTAAAGATAGGCTTCCTGTCCTCTTAATGGTTAAAAAGTACGCACTCAGATTGCTATTAACATAGCGAATTCGATTGCTCGCACTAGTGCGCACTGAGTGCACACCAAGGCCAGTTTATAGTCAATTTTTGAACTTAACTTTGTCTTAAATTCAAAGAGTATTTATCAAAAAAATGATCCGCGTGGATGCTATACAGATCATTTTACTGGCTATGAAATATTTCAAGAAATATTTAAGACGATTCGCAAATGTAAGAATTGACTGTAAACAAGCCTTAGTGCACTCAGTGCGCACTAGTGCAAGCAACCGAATTTGCTATTGATAAAATTGACGCGAAGTTTACTCCCGACTTGGGGTCGGGAATATGATCGTTTCCATTCTGGTTCAGATGCTGACGTCAAAACTAATTACATTGCCATGAGCCTTCGACTCCTAATGCGCAATAGCGTTGGAATTAAGCTTTTGCTTAAATTCTCACGAGAATCAGATCAATCCAATATATTCGGCCGGGAACACATCCCTTAACTACTAAATACCAATTTGCGATGCACTCGGCGGGCGTTCGCTTTGTCGAATGACGCGTCCGCGTATACCATCGAATTCCGGCCACTTCCGTTAATTAATGAAATCCGAGCCGCGGCTCATTCATCACCGGCGATCGTACGCGTCCGCATTAGAACGGACGCGGGTTGTATCTCGTCGCGAGCGCTCCAATATGTATGCGCGGTGTAAACGACGGGCGCCCGCACGCCTTTGCAGTGCGACGATGACGGCAATTTCGAATTAATTGCAAATTCACTGAGATCACGCTGGTTGGATGACGCGGGGGTGATTAATGTCTCCGTGGTAATCCGGAGACCAGCTTCCCGCCCCCACGGTCCATCCGCCAGTTCGCCCCCGTTCGTCTCGTTCTTCCGGCACCGTATACTCGCGGCGCTTACGTATGGTAAGTGCTGTGGGATAACAGC